GTCTGTATCTCAGTCTCTCCATGGAAGCGGCAAGTAACGAAACTCACAATTGCGAAACTATGGATCCGAATCCAACCTCGATGTGGAGTTCCATTGTGAAGAAAGATCCACCTTCAAAGCCTCCGTCTAACGACGGAGATTCTTCAGCGATTCTCGGGATGGTCGGAAACTGCAAATCCACCAAGGGAATATCTATGGCGGTTGTTGATGCTAACGCCGTCATTGATGGACGACAAAGCCTAGCCAACTTCGCCGATAAGTTCGTTACTGTTCCTGAAGTACTCTCTGAGATTCGTGATTCTGATTCTCGCCGTCGTTTAGCTTTCACACCATTCATTATCGAAACCATGGAACCTTCTCCTGAGTCTCTCAGTAAAGGTACATAAAGCAAGTTTTTGATTCGAATTCGATAGTGAGACTCTTGTTTATAGTGAAGCTTATAGGATTTGGAATGATTTTTCGCGTATATGATCTTGTATCTCTGACATTTGACTCTTTTTCTCTTTGATTCTGCAGTTATTAAATTTGCAAGAGCTACTGGTGATTTACAAACTCTATCTGATGTTGATCTTAAACTGATTGCTTTGACATATACTCTTGAGGCTCAAGTTCATGGGACTAAAAATCTCAGAGATGTTCCTCCACCGATTCAAACCGTTAGAGTAAAGAGATTGCCTGAGAAGGAATTACCTGGTTGGGGTTCCAATGTGGCTAACTTGGAGGAGTGGGAAGCATTAGAGAAAGAAACCGAGGAAAACTCCAACGCTAACTCGAAAATCCTTCCGCTGAAAGACCTTGACTTGAACACCATTCCTTCAGACAATTGTTCTGAGGTTGGTTCGGTTGTGTCTCATTCTGAGCATCAAGAAGATGAAGAAGGTGAGAGGAGGCGTAGGCGATACCCGCCCAAGAAAACAGAGGTAAAGCTTGAAGGTAAGATGGTAGTGGAGGGAATTGATGCATCCAAGGGTGTGTATGACGATGAAGATAGTGGTGATTGGAGACCTGCGGTTAGTAGAAGTACTCACAGTAAGTTTCTTAGAAGAAAGGCGAGGTGGGAACAATCTGTTGCCTTGGCTGAGAAAGAAATTCAGCAAGATCAAGAAGCTGACAAAGCTGTAAACATGGTTTCGGATACGGCTGATCTGCAGAAACAGTCGAATCAAATCTTTGAAGACGCCAATGAAAGCTGTGCAAAAGATGAGGATCTTTCTTCCATCCTAAAAGAAATGAGGTTGGAGGAAGATTCATTAAAGGCTCTTCAAGAAGGGGATGATGAGACAAATGCTGAAACAACTTTGATCGATGGTGAGGATGATATCGATGATGATATTGATGTCGAAGCCGAGGGGATCGATGTTGCAGATCAAGGGTTAGAGAATGTGGAGATTGTTAGTGAGGCTGGGGATACCGTTGAGGTATCATCGATTGCAGATGATGGTAGCAGCGAGCAGAGTTGGTCGTTAAGAGCTTTATCTGAGTCCAGTGTAGCTTGTATTACCGGTGACTATGCAATGCAAAATGTTATTCTTCAAATGGGGTTGCGTTTGCTTGCACCCGGTGGAATGCAGATTCGTCAGTTAAGCAGGTAACAACTTTATGAATGGTAAAATGTGTCAAGTTTAGATGCACTATATTTTAAAAGGTTTCAAATAAAATGATATCATCGAAGTTTTATAGATCACTAGTTGAACATGCAATGCAAAATGTTATTTATGTAGTAACTTTCTATCATTTTATGAATCAGATCTTCCTCTTCTTTTCTTTTTCGAATGTCGATACTTTTCTTTAGCATGCTCACTTTATTGCATTTTCATCTTCAGGTGGATCTTGAAATGCCATGCTTGCTACACAGTAACTCCTCAAATTGGAAGAATCTTCTGTCCCAAGTGCGGGAATGGTGGCACTCTACGCAAGGTAGCGGTTACAATAGGCGCAAATGGCACCATCATAGCTGCTCGTAAACCACGTATTACACTTCGAGGGACCAAAGTAAGTACTCGTTTATAAGCAGAAGCTAACCATAACCACCTTGCATAGCGTTAAACACAACATGCATTTCTATGTGCAGTATTCGATACCAATGCCTAAAGGAGGAAGAGATGCAATCACGAAGAATCTTGTTCTACGGGAAGATCAACTCCCTCAAAAGTTTCTCCATCCAAGGGCCAAGAAGAAAGCAAGCAAACCGGTTAGTAACATTCCAAACACATTTTGGTTGAAAGAACAAAAGTTTTTAAGGTAGTTTCGGGATTTGATTTGTATATTGTTTGTTTTTCTTCAGGGAGATGAGTATTTTGTATCAGACGATGTGTTCATGAACCATCATAGTGATAAAAAGGCACCATTGCAGCCACCTGTGAGAAAAGCTATGCAGGTTTTCAGTCAGAAAAGAAACCCTAATGATAACCATTACTCTCGTTCTATGCACTGATGTGTTTGTTTCTCCGACACAACAAACCAAAGCATCTCCTTTACTTGTGAAGATGATGCCAAATGATTTTGTCTCTTTTTTTATTTTTGATCGTTGTCTTAAAGTCTGAAACTTGTAGTTTGAAAAATTGAGAGATTATTATTATTATCAAGTTTTATTCGGTTCTCAAATTTGTATTTTGATTAAACAAAATAGGGGGGACCCAAAAACTCATCAGTTTGTTCTTGCTGTGACTTTTTGGTGAAGAATTTTCCCTTTATTGGAATTTAGCAACACCAATTTTGAAGGAACAAAGAAAGATGCAAAATCTTCGAACAAGTTAATATCCAATGTTAAAACTAAAAAATACTCCTCCTTTCATCTTCAGCTTCATTTGAAGGCGAAGCCAGCGCAAGCTCGGCCCATGCCAAAGATGATGACCTGAGCTCTGCTGAAATTGACACTCTGATTCTACTTTCCAATGTCTCACAAAGCTCCTGAACCAATGAAGAAAGCTTCTTCTTGTCTTCTTCATTCTTGTCCAAGTTCAAGCATTGACTAGCCACTTCACATACCGCCTCAAGTTCCTTTTGGTTGAAGTGCTTCATCTCCGGATCCACCAAACTAGCCATCACGTCTGGTGCACCAAGATACTTCTCCTTTGCCTGCACCATAAAAACACAATTCGGATTTCATTGAGTGTTTGCATCCCGGGAACTATATTCCCGGTTGTGTTGACGCATTCAAGGTCAAGACTTTGCATCCCGTGAACCAAATGCATTGTACCCATTTCGAAAACTCTTTCCAGTTTCCAAAATGGGGTAAGAAAGTAAATGATCAGTTGTTGTATTAAGCAAGGATAAGAGAAAGGTTTTTGGCTTCCGAAAAGCGTGAAAATGCATAAAGAGAGAGTATTAGAGAAGAAGCTACTCTTACCCATTCAACCAAGCAACCTCTTTCTTGGCAATAAGAAGGTCTTCCGCTTACAGTTTCCAGCAAAAGTATGCCAAATGAGTATATGTTCCCTTGTAAATTCAGATCTCGATGCTCCATTGCGTTGGGAAGTACACATATAGCTCCTTCACTACTGATATCCCTCAAATTCTTCTCTGATCTCACGTTAATCGTCTTCCAGCATTCAAAATCAACCAGCTGCATAGAATAAAACAAGGATTAAGAGTATACTAGCGAAGCTTAGTTTACTGTATTGTCTAGGAAATAGATGGGTGCAACGTTACTTTGGGAGTATAATCTTCAGTGAGATACACTGCATTTGAGTTCAACTCAGAGACTGTAAACGGAGGATCGAGTTCAGTATGAAGATACTTGAGACCACGTGCGATGCCTGTAACGATTTTCATGCGTTTTGCCCATGATACTAAACTCCCTTCCCCATCTGCACCAAACTTATTATCAGCTAACTCTACTTACGAAAAACTGCCAAAAACAGAGCTCTAAGGAAGTTGGATTGTATATTACAGTGGAGGAGCTCGTATAGTGTCCCGTTTGATGCATATTCAAAAACAAGCATTCTTGTAAACGGTTTGTTCTCTTTGCAGTATCCAAGTAATTTCCCCGCATTTTCATGGTTTAATCTAGCCAAATCCGCAACCTGAAACAATGAATGGTCACAAAAAGTCATGATTTTATTCATGGATTAGTGCAAGTGACTCAGTAATGACGT